GGGGTGCGCCAGTTGCTGAAAACCTACAAAGCGCATTTTGCATTTCGCACGCGTCGGCATGACGATTTCTACTGTAATGCCGTTTGTACGTGATTTTGTACCTAGTGTGGTTGCAACCTTAGTTCTATGTATGTCAACACTAAAACTAGGCTTATGCGCCGACAGTGTCTCTTGAAAATCAGGCTTCTATTTTGTACTGGTTCAGATAGTTAGTGGTTGACTATCACCCTTCACCCTTCATTTCACATTCATTTTTGTCATTGCCAGTCGTTTGACGAGCCAGGAAATGTTGAATAAATACAAATGTCGTGTCCTTGCTTTTGTTCCCATGGCGACAGCTGGAGCAGTTGCCACTGGAGCCGACGGCAGCAAGACGCAGGTGGAGCGCAAGGAGTTTGGCGGCTTTGCCAACGTGCCGTACGACACCTGCTACCACCAGGCGTGCGACACGATTGACAACGTTGACTTTGACGTGCTGCAGGACATGGCTGACTCGGTAGCTACTGCTCTCCAGGTATGGTGACACATCAACAGTACAGAACATATTTCCAGAGCATAAGCCACACTTCGAACGCTCGTAATGTGATCATGTGACTAGACACAGGCATGGTTTAGTTGTCACATCACCCCTCACCCCCATCATATCAAGTGCATGTGTGTGCGTGTGTGTGTGTGTGCGTGCGCATGTTTCTTTGTAGGTGCTACTTGAGGAGGAGAACATGGCGGAGTTTCTGATGCAGAGCACGCAGTCGTACGAGAAGGCGACTTCGTGCATCCGCGAGAAGGGCAGCAATCCGGTTATTCGTGATCAGTCGGCTGGCACAGCTACGGCTTCTGCTACTGCTGCTGCTGATGATCCACTTTCTGCTGGTACTTGCTCATGATTGCGCAGTGAAAAGTATTTCTGCGACGGCTGTGGCAGAGGTAAATAGTATTGCAATGACCAAGGAAACTCTGTACCGCTAAATACCGCCGGTACATCGTTACTTCATTGTGCTTTGCCTAATACCAGCAGCGTTCGTTGGTCGGTGTCCGGTCACCTCCAAAAACCACATAGAGTGCTTAATCAGGCATGATTGAAATCATGCTGGTTTATTGCGTGTAGTCTGTGGAGGTGAAGTATAGGTGAAGGCCAGCCACACTGGTCTGAACCGATCTCCATTTCTACCTTATCTTAGTCTGTAGAGGTTCGAGTCCATTGTTTTTAGGAACACGTTTTGTTTTTGTGTGTGTGTGTTTGTGTGTGTGTGTGTGTGTGTGTGTGTGTGTGTGTGTGTGTGTGTGTGTGTGTGTGTGTGTGTGTGTGTGTGTGTGTGTGTGTGTGTCTATCCCTGGTTGGATTTGACAGCTTCCATTTGATGATTCTATATTTTAAATATGTTTACCTGTATTGAGGAATAGGAAAGTCGTCCACAGCGTAATGACGGCCAGAAATATGATTTATATACTGCATTCTGGGTTTACCGGGTGTTAGCGGCCGTCATGAGTTAGTTCCCTTTGGGAACGGACACGATAATTTACTTTCTCAAATTTCCTCTCTATTTTAATGTCTCAACAAACAAAATTTCCCATGTGCAACTTTCCCTCAAACAAATGAATATCCCTCTATTACCTCTATAATTATAATGAATTATTTTCTTGTCGAAAGATATATCAACATATTTTTACCTCTTTGCAATCATTCTAAGTTTGCGAAACACTTGCCTGTTGGAATGGTAGAGCCAGGGAGTAGTACAATACGGTATTGTACTACTCCCTGGGTAGAGCAGCCTGGAAACCCTTCTGTTGGGGGTTTCGGTGCAAAACGTGCCCGTACACTGTACAGCAGGGAGTCATCAAAAACGTGTTTGACGACTCCCTGCTGTCCAGTGTATTTCATTGCCGAACGTTGCCAACGACATGACTGTTATGTCACGTACATTATGTCACGTAGGTCACATGTCTTGTCACAGTTTCATAGTATTTAATATTTATTATTATTTATAGTGTGTGTGTGGGAGGGGGGGGGGGGGTGTTGCCCGTCTCTTCGTTCTCCTCCGCATTGTGACTAGTCTACGTATCGTACAGTAGACGTGGTAGACCGACTGTCTGTTCGTCCAAGCTCAGCTTACTTACTAGTTACTACAGTACAGACTGTCAGTAGTAGTGTGGTCTCAGTCGAGCTATACTTGCAGAACTACCAGATCTCGAGATGATGTCAGTTTACTCGTACATGTAGATGATCTACCAGCTACATTAGATCCAGCTTGGTACATGTAGCCATATGCATGTAGCTGGTGTTACACCACTCACCACGGCACTAGTGCACTGTCTGCAAGCCTCTCACGGCCAGTAAAATGAACGACTCACTCAGAGGAAAGTTATTGATACGGCACGATATTACTATTTTCACAAGGCACCACTAACTACACTATCGATCCACTTCTAACCAAATAAAAAAAACTTCACGTTGATTGCATGTGAAGACCACGCTCGCACACACAGCTACAGGCCTTTGCCACTTTCCAATGAATGGACGAAGTGAAAATAATATGGATCATGGGAAAGGTGAAAGTTTTGAGAAACCATGATCCATTTCTGTTTAGGCCATCATTTTTTATCTATGTTTCGCGTCAGGTCAACCTCCAGAATCATATGCGAGAGGTGGAAAAAATAAAAAGTTGCAAAATAATAAAAAAAAGGCTCATCAGTAGGCCTCCGCGGAATATGCTCGTATTTTTACCGATAATTCCTTTGAGCATTGCTCAAAATTACGTCCGATAATTCCCGTAATTCCACCAATAATTCTCACAATAATGCTTTTTTTCTTCCCTTTTTTGCAGATACCGTACCGCTTACGGGGTTTTTTGCCACTTGTACGGGCAAAAAATCACGGTTCGCGTGAAACTCGGCTGGAAGCTTTTTTTTCTTTCTCTTTTGAAATACCGGGCGATCAACTCATTCAGGATCACAAGCTTTTTGGTACAAATCAGGGTGTTAAAATGGAAAAAAATTGAAAAAAGGGGGGCATTGCTCAAATTTTACCGATTATTCCACAAAAATTGCCAATAATTCCCGTTTAAAAAATCACACCGATAATTCCCGAAATTATGCCGGCATATTCCGCGGAGGCCTACTCATCAGAGCCTTCAGAGGTGTATGCACTGTACATAGCACAAAAGCTCGTGCATGGTGTACATTCGAAAGAAAAATCGTACATCGAAGCACAACATCTTGGTTATCAGCATAAGTAAATATTCACTTTGGACGGAGGAGGCAACCGTTGGTCATGGTGCCTATGCTTCGCTGGATTATTGTACTCAGACTTCAGCAGCGGTGCAAAGAGCTCCGGAACGACGCATCCTCTCAGCTTGAGGCGATCAATGCGGTCTGGTGTAAGCTCATTAGGCCTTGGCGGATAATGCCAGCAGAAAAATTGGCAGAATTCGGCACTTTTTCTGCTAGGTTTCATGCATGTTTGGTATGTGGATAAAGAAATGGAGCAGAATTCGAGGAATTGCCCGCCATAAGGTTTGTATGGTTCTGCCAATTTCGGTGCAAAAAAAGCAGAATCTGCCACCTTTTCGAGCATTATCCGCCAAGGCCTAAAGCGGGATTCACAGAAGGTTTTTTGCGATGCGACACGCGATGCGACAGGCGTGAAACCGGGAAAACCCCAAATCGCAGCCATGTCGCACCCCACGCAACTGCCGCAACTGGGCCATCGCAGGCCATCGCAGAAGTTGAGCTTGGCTCAACTTTTGCGATGCGATGCGATGCGACAAGCGATTTGGTGTACGATTTTGACCTTTTCTACAGCAAAGTTGTACAAAGGTGCAAGAGTTGCCTATAAATTTTTACAAGTTGTGTCAAACCGCGCAAATATCATGGTGACGTACCCAAATCAGCAAAACTTTGTCGCATCGCTGACTTCTTCTGTGAATGGTATTTCGCGAGTTCGCATCGCACGCATCCATCGCAGATCGCGTCGCATCGCGTGTCGCATCGCAAAAAAGCTTCTGTGAATCCCGCTTTAAGCTCATAGAATATTGCTCCCAGATGCCGAACAAACGATTTACCAATGCTGGCCTAGAGCCCAGTATACTGTAGTAGAGGCCATTTCTGAATCCCAGCTTCGCCGTATGCAACCAGTCCACACTTTATATGACTCGCACCATCGTACATTCACTGTGCATGTTCGATTTTTTTTATTTTTTTTCCAAAAAAATCAAAACGTATGCGTGCGGACGACGCGAAACATAGCTAAAAAAATGATGGCCTTATGGAATGGATAAAAAGGCCTACAAAAAGTACAACATTAAAAAATATATATTAAATAATCACCCGATCACAGGGCCTACGAATTTATTTGTAGGGGTACATGATAATGTGTACGTGTGTACGGGACGCTGCCTCCGCGATACCTGTGAGGCTGTGACCAGTGGTGACATGTCGACATGACGTCGATGTGAGGCGCCAAATTTAGTCCTTTGAGTATCACATGCCGTACCTTACAAACCGAAACCGGTTTAACCAAGGAATCGTACGTACGAGCGCCTAGCGCCTCTGCGAAACTTGACCAAATATGGCGGGTACCCGTACCCGAGTCTGGCTCGCGCGGGGAAATCGTTGGCTGACGTCAGCAGTGGTTCTCGGAATTCCTCAGTGTCAGGCGTTGAAAGAGGGGCAGGTCTACGCTGACTCTTCACTTCAGATTTCACTCTCTCGAATCAGTTTGTGACTTCCGATCTCCTTCTTTTCCAAAATGTGTGACGACGACGTTGCCGCTCTTGTCGTAGACAATGGCTCCGGTATGTGCAAAGCCGGTTTCGCCGGTGATGACGCACCCCGCGCCGTCTTCCCCTCCATCGTCGGTCGTCCCCGCCACCAGGGTGTGATGGTCGGTATGGGCCAGAAGGACAGCTACGTCGGAGACGAGGCTCAGTCCAAGAGAGGTATCCTGACCCTCAAGTACCCCATTGAGCACGGTATCGTCACCAACTGGGATGATATGGAGAAGGTAAGCATTTGTTTTTCTCCTTGTTTCTGCTTTTTGTTCTTTGCTCAAGTTTCAATCCAGCTACCGGTACTTGCAGTTTGTTGTTTTGCCTTCTTGTCACACAACTGTACAACTACAAGTGACTCTTTGTGTTTTGTACGGTATATGACACATCAACAAAGCAAAGCAATCTTCTTTTTGAAATCGAACCCTAATTTGATAATCTGTTAGTCCTTGATGCGTTCTTTTCTTATAAATAAGATGTACCGGTACCATTCCGTCCTTTCTGAGTCTTTCTATTTCGTTTCCGCCCTGTTTCCTTCCCTCTCTGTATCGTCTGCCTGGATCATGGAGCTGCTCTCTTGATATTTTTGCTTTCTTTCCTGCAGATCTGGCATCACACTTTCTACAATGAATTGCGTGTTGCCCCCGAGGAGCACCCCGTCCTCCTGACCGAGGCTCCCCTCAACCCCAAGGCCAACCGTGAGAAGATGACCCAGGTGAGTGTTGCACTGCGCATGCTCCTTCTACTCCTTGTATCACTGTGGTACAGGGTGTTCGTTGCGGAGTTGTGACTGCAGTACAGTACATTCTAAACTGTTGTGGCGAGTGTAGTCGAGACCCAGTCGCCGACCCTTTCTGAGACGCTCGCAAATCCTGCATTTGAGCTAAAGAGAGTGAGAAAGAGTTTGTGACAGGATCCGTTGTAACTGTGTACTGCAAATTTATTCTTGTCCGGCCTTCGGAGCAGTTTGCATCAGTGTCTCCCATCTGTCGGTCCTCACTGTTTTATGCTCTGTAGTTCATGTAGTTGTTTGTACACTGCCCCTGCATTCACATTGACTTTCAAATTGATTTTTGCCTGACATCTTTTTTTACCTCTATTCTCCTTTTTCTCATGTGTAGATCATGTTCGAGACCTTCAACACCCCCGCCATGTACGTCGCCATCCAGGCTGTGCTCTCCCTGTACGCCTCCGGACGTACCACCGGTATCGTCTTGGACTCTGGTGATGGTGTGTCCCACACCGTCCCAATCTATGAGGGATACGCTCTGCCCCACGCCATCCTCCGTCTCGACTTGGCTGGCCGTGACTTGACCGACTACCTCATGAAGATCCTCACCGAGCGTGGTTACTCTTTCACCACCACTGCTGAGCGTGAAATCGTCCGTGACATCAAGGAGAAGCTCTGCTACGTTGCCCTCGACTTCGAGCAGGAGATGGCCACATCTGCCCAGAGCTCCTCCCTGGAGAAGAGCTACGAGCTTCCCGACGGTCAGGTCATCACTATCGGCAACGAGCGATTCCGCTGCCCTGAGGCTCTCTTCCAGCCATCCTTCCTCGGTATGGAGCAGTCTGGAGTCCATGAGACCACCTACAACTCCATCATGAAGTGCGACGTCGACATCCGTAAGGACCTGTACGCTAACGTTGTCCTGTCCGGTGGTACCACCATGTACCCAGGTATTGCCGACCGTATGCAGAAGGAGATCACCAACCTTGCCCCACCAACCATGAAGATCAAGATCATTGCCCCACCAGAGCGCAAGTACTCCGTATGGATCGGAGGCTCCATCCTCTCTTCCCTCTCCACCTTCCAGCAGATGTGGATCTCCAAGCAGGAGTACGACGAGTCCGGCCCCAGCATTGTCCACCGCAAGTGCTTCTAAATGCACGCAACGATGCAGAAACCCTTCTAATTTTGTCTTTGTTTGTCTTAGGGCTCTTTCACAAGGAGAGTATGAAATAAAGAACAATCGAAATACCATGTGTGTGTCTTCGGCATGTAGTGGGGACTGAGCGAATGTGTGCTCTTTCAGTATATTGGAGAGCCTCTTGAATGACAGCCTATTTGGAAATTGTGCATGTAATCCAGATGTGACATACATAGTGGGTTTTTGCAATGTAGTGACTTTACAGGTACACATAACGTCGTTAGTTCTCTGTTTTGATTAGGCTTGTGTTGCTGGTGGGTTTGAAAATGGACTTTTCCAGACTGGGCATTGTGAAATCCCTCCTATGCCAAACACTGCAGTCTGCAGATACTGTAGTCTCGTGTTTGAATACGGAGACTCCCTCGATTTAGGCTATTAAAGGCCTGTGGAGAATCCACAAATATCATACTGTCAGATTGCAAGGCCAAGCAGATTTTCGTGTCATCTTAAAACAGCCTACAGTGTGCACCAAAATATTTTTCCAACGGGTTACACCTGCAGCCGGCCTGGTAGGTCCTTATTTTTCAGAGACATGCTACGTTCTTATCTTAGAGGTAATTTGTACAGTAGAGTCGCGCCCTGAAGAATGTTCAGCCTGAATTTCTAAGAACGCCACAGTCTAAAAGCTAAGAACGGCGGTGTTGGTTTTCTGGCAGCTTGTGGGATACATGATCCAGTACGGATAGTTTCTAAGAACGCAGCCAGATTGCTGAGAAATAAGAACGTCCCAGGCAACCCCTTGGAAACAACGTTCTTGGGCGCGCGACTCTACTGTACTCGTTTTTAATTTATACAGAGGAGTAGAGTCTCGCGCTGGAGAACGTCCAGCCTGAAATGCTAAGAAGTCCTGACCGTAGTTAGAACGCACCAGGTCCAGACCGTCCAGTGCAGTATGCAGTGTCTTCAGTGTGCCATGTAGGGATGAAATGACCAAAAAAGTCGCCGGGCCATCAATATTGTGGAGTACATGTATTCATGAGCACCCCAAGATTGGATATTTTCGGAATTTTGCTGAAATTTACCACATATTTTGCTCAAAATTTTTTTTTTTTTTTTTAACTTGGTACAAACCGGCCTCTTGTACGGGCAGAATTAAGTAACACAGTGATACAATAAAAACAAGTACCAGTAGTTACATACATGGACCATACGAGAAAAAGCAGTGATGACGAGGCATAAACAAGTGTCTAGTGCTGTATGGCAGCTTCCGAGACAGCGAGTCGAGCGGATGACTCAGCCACCTCCGGGTGCGAATACAGCCGTCGTGCACCACGCAGGCAAGCCACGCCTGCACGGAGAAGGGCGAAGCTGAACCTGCAGCGGATCCATGCCATCACTGCAGAGTATGGCTCACCAGATTTGTCGGAGACCATTGCAGCTATTCTCTTGAGGAGAGCGGCAGCAGCTCGACCAGTACCACCAGTTGCAGCGAAAACCACAGGGATGAAGGTTCCACGCTCGACCTCCTTGACGCGCTGTTCGTATCGCCTCCGTTTTTCACGTTCATGACGCTGGTAAGTTAGCAAGCGGTGATGGAAGAGGATCGATTTGAGGGAGCAAAGGGGTTGAAAACCCGAATATCGAGAAAGACTCTCTCAAACCGACCTCCCCAAACACCACTCGCCGCAACATCAAGTCGAGCCTGGTCTTCTGTGGAGGCAGTCTTGTAGCGGAGCTGCTCACCAGAGAGCGGTTGTAAGTGTGGCTCGATAGCGACACTATTGGCGACACGTTTCAATAGCGAGGCAGTGATGTCCCGCACCTCATTGTGTCGAAGTGACGGGAAACCTCCGGTGCTGCATGTCAGGGCATGGGCTACTGTGAAGCTGGCTCCACAGACACAGGTTGACGGTAAGCGAGAAGGCCGCCAGCCATAGCACAGTGCCAAACCATCGCGGAACTCGCTTTTGGATAGCACAAATCCATGACGGGATAGCGGACGACAAGTAAGCCAGCTGGAGGCGCCAGGCTCACTTGCCAACTGAATTGTGTGCTGCAAAGTGGGCGATGCGTCGGCAGCGAAGCCACGGATGTCGGTCTTCGCTTTCTGGCGGTGATCTGCACGCTGTGACGCTTTGGCTGAGGCAACGCTGGCAAGAGCTTCCGTCACACTGAAGTCTTGGTCGAGGATGTTGGTGGTGAGCGCCGCTGTGATCGCGCGGGATGAGGCGTATTGGGTTGTTAGAGATGTTGGATTGACGATGCCCAGGCCACCATCCCGGCAAGGGAAGGCAAACAGCCGTCGCAGCTCCAGACTGACTTCTTCTCCAGTCAGGGCTGGCAGCAGCTTGGTAACAATGGCGTGTTCCAACTGATCAAGACCACTGGACGCATCCGGCAGAACACGACACAAGAATGTCCAGCGGCATGAGAGAGCACGAACAAAAGTAGTGTACGCTGCCTGGGGCTGGGTACGAGCGAAGGATGAGAGTGTCTCAATCTGCTTGCACCATTCATTGGCCTTCTCCTGGATGAACCCGTGGATGTAGTCGGGCGTGCCAATAGCAGAACCCAGGTAGCGGTTGCCGTCAGATGTTACTTGGATGCCAGTATCAGCGAAGAGGCGCACAGCGTCGTCGTAGGCATGTGGCTTGACCACAAGCACAGACTTCCGGGCATTGAGGTGATATCCGTAGGACGGACCTTCAGCCTGCAGCTTGTCCCACCACGATCGAATTGCTACCAGACGACCACCTGCAGATGAATCGTCCGCGTACCATAGCTGGCAGGTGTCCGGGGTTGCTACCGCTCTCACAAGTGGGAGGATGCCGAGGGCATAGAAAGGCATCGCCAGGGGGTCCCCCTGGGTTGTGCCTTCTTGGGACAGAATACACTCCCCTGCCACATACAAGTTGCTCGGCCGCCGGTACGAATTGATCACAACTGCTGCAAGAGAGGGGCATTGGTGGCGAATGTTTCGGATGGCCACATTGCGGTTCAGGTTATTGAACGCATTGGCCGCGTCCGCCATAATGACGCCCTCCGTTTCCTCTTGGGCGTAGACTTGGTGCATGGCATGAATGGCTGCCTCTATGCCGAAATCCTGGCCACCACAGAGTTGCAAACTTCCCGCTGCTTTCTGGATGTCGTCGCTGATGACGATCAGGATGCTTCGGCCGATAATGCGGCGCACTACCTCCCCGATCCCGCTCAAAATAGGACCAAGAATTTGGCCCGAAGATTTTTGCTAATATTTTACAAATCAACTGCTACCATGTGCACACAGCAAAAGGAATGTTGGCCAAAAGAAAAAGGAAAAAAAAACTAGGGCTGAAACGATCATTTCAACATGCCCCTGGCAACCTGAACCAGGAACTGCATACTCACAGTGGAAATTGATTCGAACTTCACAAAACGGTGGTTTTGAGTACTTTTTGGACTCAAAATCCGTAACGAGTAATCTATAACGTAACGATTACTTGATTGATAAGGAATTATCGATCGCATACTGAGTACTGTAAAACGGGTAACGTTTGCGACAATAAATGTTTGCGTTTTACAAATTGAGACTGGTTTGCGCTGTTTACTGTTTGCGATTGAACACATATGTACGACATACATGTGCGACACAGTCGAGTCAGTCCTTGCACTGAACTTTACATGGCGCGAGTTTGCGTTGTTCAAAGTTTGCGATTGGGGGCCTCTCGCAAAATTCGCAAACATTTTTACGTCGTAATACTAGTAGTTACCCGTTTTACAGTAATTGGTATAATCGTTTCAGCCCTAAAAAAAAACTTCCAAAAAAGACTAGGTTCAGCCTGGTAGGGCTTTCCCCAAATCAGCCCATTTATTTCGACTCTTCGGTCGGCTCAAAAATACATCAGATTCCGCTGCAAAATCAGCTGATAGTTCGGAAATTGGCTGCAAATTTGGAATACCGGTACTAGTACATGTACATGTATATTGGAAAATTGGCTAAACAAATTATTGGCATATTCGGGCTTCAAAATTGGTGAGGAAAGTACAGCTCCGCTAGATGGAACTGGCTACAACTGTAAGTTGCAGTGCTAATGCAGTATTTTAATTCAAGTACAATTGTACTCGTAGTCATGATCTTCCTATATTGGCTAATGTTTGTTTGAGAGGAGGTCAAAGGGCACGAGCAACGCGACCTCAACGCGCTAGTACTACAAGTACGATCGTACTGAAGTACAGAGCTCGAACGGTCACCATGGTCATGCTTGCAGCAACATCATTCGTTCGTAAGCATGGTAAACGCACTTTGCAGCAACATTTTTTTGGTAGATTTTCGGGGATTCTCAAAGGAACCATCCGAAATCGGCCAAAAGCTTAGCGATTTTTGGTCTCCTTTTCGGCGAATTTTTCGGCCGGCCGATTTGGGGAAAGCCTACAGCAAGTACAGCCTGTACTAGTGCTGGTCCCATACTATGCCATACTAGGTCATACTATGCCATACTAGGTCATACTATGCCATACTATGCCATACTATGCCATACCACAGTCCATTCAGAAATAGATGAGCGCTGGCCCTGGAGAGCTCCCGTGTTTGGCGATTTTGCCAGTGCCGCGAGATTCCAAACTTGAAAAAGGGGCCAAAAAAGGTACCTCAACTGGGGTTTGAACCGCAAATGTACTGTTCTGCAAGTGGAGTGCACGGGTTGGATTTTCATGGCTTTTCCCCAATTCAGTGAGTTTGGGGGCAAAACCTGGCCGAAATCCTATTCTTGTTATGGCTTTTGGGAGAAATGGACTTCAAAAACACGGAAGCACATTTCATGGGGGATTGCCAAAAATATTGTGACAAAAACTCAAAATTTGACCCATTTATGGCCAAAAGCTAGGATATCATCTTTTTCTGAATGGACTGTAGCCCAGGTCATACGTAGTTCCATGAAAGCGATTATCGATTGTCTTGATATCAAGGATTATCATCCGGGTAGATCTACGGGTGTGAGTTTTCATCCGTCTTTTTCAGAAAACTGCGCCCATGTAATGTCTTATTTCCACTCTCTGTCACTGTGTCTTTCTCGATTCTCAGAGAAAAAAAAGAGGGTTCGTATTTTACTATTTTCTCCTCACTGAGCTGCCTCTCGTTTCCGTACTGAACAAAGGCGAACCCGTACAGAAGGCGAGCCTCATCGGTGCTACATCAAGCGGCCTGAGCTCAGCCTCAGGCTTAGGGACACCGCTAACTAATACTTACCGTTAGTCCATGTAGAATTTCTGAGCAGGGGTCGCTGGTATCGCTCTCAGTTTGGGACTCTTGCTTCCGGCCCCTGTACGTTGAGCTCATGTGGTGCGGCTGACTGTAGATCTACCAGCTCCGGTAGTCGTTCGTCAATTCCTGGGTCTCGCCTGTCTGTCTTGCTTGTGAGCTGACCATCGGGAACGCCGTGCCAATCGAAAAACAGTAGCCCCTACGTTCTGAGTTCTGAGTTCTGAGTTGGGCCTCTCCGCATCAAATAAATAATAGAACAAGGTCGGTTTCATTTCAGACTCGGATAGAAGACATCTCCATGGCCAGATACCGGTACTACTGCAGAAAGAGGAGGTAAGTTGAGTTCAATAAGCTCGAGATTGAAATTCGAGCGAATAATCAATGTTTGCTGCTCGCTGTGCTACAATGTAGCTCTGTGGTCGCCAGCACTCGCTACAGTGTATAACGTTTCCACTTGAACACTGATAATACGCACACTCATAGGATGGCAGGGAATGTACTGTCCAAGTACATGTACAGTAAACCTCGTGAATACCGACCTCGGATATAACAACAACTCGCGAATAGCGACACAATCATTGGACCAAGTGACTACTTGACTGCACACTCTCAGCCTCACAACTAACGACAACTCGCTGATAACGACATTGTTCTCATAGTACGATCAAGGGTCATTCTTCGCAAGGTTGACTGCACAGTATTTCCAGAGTGTTAGCGGCCACACTTTAGGACACATTTAAATCGCCCCAGCGGCTCGGACTCCAAATAGTGAACGTGAATTGACCAGCAGTGCTGCTGCAATCCATGCATGGAAAGCATGCATGGTGTCAGTTGACTGCTTTTCACGTGCTGCAGACCATCTTTGCACTAATGCCAAGTTTCCACGTTTTTGACAATGTCAGTTCTGTGTACATGTGAGGGACATTGCAACCTATTGTAGGCAACTTTTGCTAGAACTTCAGTCGCAGTACTTCTCAGCTTTTGAACTATTGGTAACGTTTTGTATGTGACCGGTATCCTATCAACTTATTTGTTCTGATGTTCTGTGGCAGTGGAATATATTAACATTTTTAACATTCTATTTGAGTAACACACTTACAACAAAGTATTAGATTGCATGTCAGACGTTGAATTTTGTTGGCGTCTGTATTGCCTAAAAATGGGAGTCGGACATGCGGTGTAATCCGATCTTTAACCAAAAAATCGAATTCTGGGCACGAAAAGTAGGGGAGGAGGGTTCCGACTTCGACCCCGGTGCGGCTAACATTCCGGAAAATACCGTAGCTTTCCAAACATGATTCAATCCGGAGCAATACACTCGCGGTTGAGCCGTGTCCGCACTATGCAAGCCTTGGTGTCCGCCGGTCTTATCCGAGTATGCACTAGATGAGTTCCCCTGCACATGTATGTGATTTTCCCCCCAGCAGACAACATAATCAAATAACTTTCATAGCAGGTTTGTTCCACAAACCCGAAGTAGATGTGGAAGTGCCGAAACAATCCACTTTCAATTAGATGAGATTGCACTGTCCCTAGGCATTGGCGGATAATGCTCGAAAAGGTGGCAGATTCTGCTCAAAAAGCAGTGAAATTGGCAGAACCATACAAACCTTATGCCGGGCAATTCCTCGAATTCTGCTCCATTTCTTTATCCACATACCAAACATGCATGAAACTTACCAGAAAAAGTACCGAATTCCGCCGATTTTTCTGCCGGCATTATCCGCATATGCCTAACTGTCCCTTGTGATTGGTGTGGCCACCTAACATATTTTCTTCTACTACGGCACAAACAATGCGTGTACAGGAAGTAGGATAGTGGGACAACAGGGTTCTCACCAAAGTGATGTAGTGGGGCGCAGTGCCCGCCCTCACTTTTTGACCGCCCCCTTTCAGAAAGAATGCGCCACCTTTCGGCTTTCGTAGTGTTGGATCCCCCCCCCTCCTACTTTTTGTGCCCAGAATTCGAATTTAATGCGCCATCTTTCTATATTATGCATGATACATACATAACGTGTAGTAGCATAGCATAAAATGGCGGTAGTAATCACAAAAAGTTGGGTCCGATGATCACCCCCTTCACTTTTGCTCTGGCTATAAACGATAAGCAAATGGACGCCCGCCCACTCATTGTTTGTTGCAAGCACCGTATCCAGTATTAACGTTCTAGTTCTAGCCAAAGGGGGGGGGGGGTGTAGGGCCCCCTACTCTGTTTGCATGCCCCCCCCCCTGTGAAAAAGTCCCCCCCCCTTACTCATTTTCCGATTTTTGTGATTTTTCATGCTATTTTACGAAAATGCAGTCGATACTCAGAAGCAGAAGGTTCATAAAGGCTCTTCTCTGGGGAGAAGCCGGGGGTTCGCCCCCTTACGTTGCTTTTTCATGGCAAGAATTTTTTTTGGAAAATGGAAAAAAACCAAGTTACGGGGCAGCTGCGTTCTCTACGTTTTTTGACCTGGCTAGAACCCTGCAGTATAGTCATGCATCAAGTTTAAAATTCCGTTATCTAAACTCGTGAATCAAGATAGCCACTGCTGGATCTGACGAGGACTGTCATACCAGTCAGCGCCCTTTAAACATGTTTGCCACGGTAATAATTTGATCAAGTACGACCGCATCTTTACTGTATCCATATGAGGGTCTACCGGTTGTTAGCGGCCGTCGTGAATTCCCTTCAGGAACGGACACGATAATTTACTTTTTTATTTTATATTTTATGAGGTCTTGGACTGTCTCCATCGCCACCTCTCAATTTCTCAGGTCATCTTCTCCGAGCAGAAATGCAATGAGCAAGCTTGCACACTGAGAACGGCAGATCGCCAAGTAGGCGGAAAAGCAAACCGGCTGACATTACGCAAATAGCCAATGTAAATTAGAAGGGAACATGGGTACGAGTTATCAGGTTATGCAGCAACTGTCCACGACTCTAACAAGATATTAGAGAGGTTAAGATGCACGCTATTTCTGATGTGATGCGAAAGTTCAGCTTGTGTTATTTGGCTCGCGTGTTGAAAAACAGCGCGAGTGACCTGCAGCTCACGTCGAAATTTGGAATTTTACGCCAAATTTGACGTGAAATTGCACGTCATGTCGGAAACAACGTGCATCTTAACCTCTCTAATAAGCAGTTTGTGCCCTGTTATGGCACTTTCCGACTCCTGCTTAAGTCATGGCCAGTTTCTACAGTACTGCTCAGTGACATCCAGTCGAGTTTCTCAAGTACGTGGCGCCGGGCGTTGCGCAGCCCTAGACCTGCGAACACTGGGCTGCAAAAACGCGCATGGCGCCAACTTGACTCTGGCGACTGGATTCCATTGAGCAGGACTGTACATCACTCCTACGCATGTGTTCTGTTCTTTATTACTGGCCCAGTATCCAAGTTGAACAGCAACTGCTGTACTGGCTTCACACCTTGCAACCTTACGGCTCTAAGCCCGGTCTCTTGCATCTACGGTAGTTTTTTTACGAGCCTTTGAAAGTGAAGATGATGGCTTTGTTCAGGAGGACACTGCTAGTTTCTGTTGTGCATTGTCATCCAGTATGTATTCTAATAATAGCACAGCCACAGCATTCCAGGTAGCTTCTAAATGAAGGTGTTTGGACACGGACGGAGAGTTGGTTAGTAGTTTCCTGCCATATTGAATACTTCTGCAATATTGGCCGTTTTTTACCTTTGTGCATTGACGTGCCTCAGACGGTGACCACCCGGTGATTGTCTGAGCGGTTATTTGCGGTTATTCTTTGTTAACCATGCAGCGGAATTGTTCACTGTATTGTTTATTCCAATTGTTTCCTTTCGTCTGTGTTTGGCTCCTGATGTGCTGGCTGTGTGCTTTCAACCTACCAACCTACCATAAGAATCGCTGCGCTCCCATTATTCCATCAGATGAAGATGATGATGAGAAGAGATGATGATGATGATGCGATGAAGCATTCAGATTCTTGCAGTTGTTGCTAGAGTCGGTGTTACGTTTATTTCTTGTACTTGTGTGAAAAGATCGAAGAACACCACCTATCGAAAGGCGTGTGTTGTATGAGTGTCTACAGGGACATTATTAGCAGTTCGAAACTGAATAGAAGGGGCGTTCTCCATCACTCCGAGGCCTTGTTGTTGTGGATTGCCGATAGCGGATTCGGCGGATCTCGTGATCCTCCATAAGGGCCGATTCCCACTACGGTACCGTGAGTGCCGTGCCGACGATTTGGGTAGGTCACGTGTACCCCACGGTACGAGCTTGAAGCTGAGAGTGATTTACACCTGCGCCCAATCATTCCGTGCATTCCGTCGGCAGGCCGGATCACCATTTTTATCAATTTCTGACTTTGGTCCTGAGGGAAAATAGCGGGGGAGATGACTGGAGAAAGCTCAAGAATCAACCAATCGAAAAGCCAAAAGCCAAGAAAAAACTTCGTACCACAAATACAAAAGAAAGAAAAAACTTCCTTTCAGGGAGTAGTAAAATACCTACTACTCACTGCATTCGACCTCACGGAATACCACGGCATGCCATTTCCACCCCCCAGAGACCCTCGGCACCGGAATGTCCACGGCGCGGCACGGCAGGAGCCACGGAATGAACTCGCGCCAAAACTGCCCCTCACGTGAGCAAATCACCATGGGTACTCACGGCACGGCACTCACGGTACCGTAGTGGGAATCGGCCCTAACATGGTCGCATGGTAGCAGAGGATGGTTTTCCAGTAGTGTCAAAGTGAGTCGACAGTTGTAGTGAGTTTCGATATCGAAGATGGAGGACGTTGACACAAGAGTCGAGAGTAGCGCGGAAGACGCGGTAGAAGAGTCGCAACAGCGCGGCGGTACGCCTCAGCAATCGGATTCTGTGGCGAGAGATGAGAGCATTGTCGTGTTGCGCAAACGGAAGGCGCAAGCAAAGGGACACTTCACCAATGCAAGGAGGGCGCTGTTGGTAGGTGCACACAATGGGCAGATTGAGGACGTAGAAGCGGAACAGTCACGTCTACAAGGCTGCATGGAGGAGGTCGCGGCAGTCATCGACGAATTATTGTACATCACCAGCGATGTCAAGGACAAGTTACTGCTGATAGCAGAACTGGAAACGCTACAAGCCGAGTACAGTGCCGCAGTTGAGGATCTGCCTGTGCCTTCGTACGGGACCGGAGGCGATCAGGAAGTCACTCAGGCGCAACAAGGAAGTGATGCAGTATCCAGCCAGCGAGGATTTACTGAGAGTGGTAGATCTACTCGTAGTCGTAGAGGTCACACACGGACCTGGCCCTGGGACTCGGCCAGTGCAACTAGTCCTAGATACGCGCCGGAATCTAGTACTGTCGGAGGACTCGCGATGAGTGCTCTAGGTGATTGGCAGCAGAGCGCTGAGCCTGAACCTGAGGAGGCCGGCTTTCTCAGCGGTATCGGAGGCTTCGGAGCCTTTGGCGGAGTGCGAGGAAGACAGATGCCCGTGGCTTCGTGGCCTGGGTACAGATATCGGGAGAGACCACTAGCTGCGTTACAGGAAGAAGATCCATGGATGCGTCAGTCATTCGCAGCGCACTCGGACTCCCCCGACTCGGAGACTCGAGACACGCGCGCCGAGTCACTTGAACAACACCAGGGTTTCGCCAGCTACAGCCAAGGAGCAACGGACATCGCGAACCAAACATCACTGCTAGCTTCGAAGGCTAGCGGAGCTGCATCAGCAGCGTCAGTGCCCTCAACTAGTGCAAACATAGTCAATAGTTCGACAACCACGGTACTCGCTTCCGGAAGATCGCCATCGATCACAGCCACTAGCATCTGTGCTAGAGCGCCTACACTGACCACAGCCAGCGCGCCAGCGTCAGCTCCGAACCTTCCAAGTAGTAGTAGTAGTCGAACGAGCGTACCCGCGGCTGCGTCTTGGACAAGCCACAGCCTACGTGCACCGGTGTCAGCAGTCAGTGCCAGTACTAGTCAACCCTATGCAGGTAGCGCTCCAGTCCTACAGCCTGCAGCGTCTAGTTCGCAGTTTGGAGGCCATCAGCACTTTCAGGCTGCCATGCCCAGGGCAAGACCACCGCCACCAGCGTTTGCTCCACCGCCTGGACATGAGCCATGGACGCAGATGAAGAGAGTATCCATAGAAACTTTCACAGGAGACAAGAGGAGGTATGAAGAGTGGAAGGCGTCCTTCATTGCCTGTGTTGATTCGTCACCAGCTACTCCAGAGTACAAGTTCCTCCAGATGAAGCAGTTTCTGGGCGGGGACGCGTTGCAAGCCGTCGCCAATCTAGGCTACACGCAGAGAGGCTATGATACAGCCAAGGCACGGCTAGAGAAGAAGTTCGGCGGCAAGCGCCGTCAAGTCGCAATGTATGTGGAGGAGCTGGCTCGGTTTACCGGCATCTCCGGAGACGACCCCAGGGAGCTTGAACGCTTCGCGGATTTACTTGAAGTCGCCACAGTGAATCTGCAAGATGCTGGTCATTTCGCTGAGCTTCAGGCCGGAACATTCTACATGAACCTGCTACGGAAGCTGTCTGAGAAGCTCGTCGCCCAATATCAGCGGTGGCTATTTGAGCAACGGAAGCAAGAGTCGGTTCTCGCTCTGCTAGAGTGGGCTACCCAAGAGGCGGAGTTCCTCGTTACGGCAACGGAGACAGTACGAGGGATGACGCGGTCCCGGCAACCCAGATGGAGCAAGCCGACCACGAATGCCAGCGGCAACAGTGAAAAGGCCCGGACCTATGCCAGTTTCAGCACCAGCTCAACCCCGCAGAAACCGCAGAAGTCGCCGAAGTGCCCCACTTGCGAAGGAGAGCACGGTATCTGGCGGTGCAAGGCATTCCTGGAGATGGACAACGTACAGAGATGGACTGAGGCCCGGCGAGCAAATCTCTGCTATCGCTGCTTGGCATTTGGACACCGAGGTGGTAAATGCAAGCGTGGTTGGACATGTGGAGTAAACGGCTGCCAGGATAATCATCATCGTCTCCTCCACGCTACGAAGGGTGGTGCGCAGAAAGGCACGCCGTCTAGTGGCCAAGCCAAGGATACACCCAGTGATGCCGAGAGTAAGAACCGGACAGGCGAATTAGGTGGTTCTTGTCACGCAGTGCAGGCTGTTACCGAGGGGGAGCTAACAGCTGGAGCGACAATGGCAGCTCACTCGTATAGCAAGGTGGCACTACGGATTGTGCCAGTGATGTTACGCAACGGCCCACAGGCAGTCACGGTGAATGCCTTACTGGACGATGCTAGTACAACCAGCTACATCAACACAGCCGTGGCTGGCCAGCTCGGCATCAGTGGAACTTTGCGACGGTCGACAGTCAGTACATTGAATGGGAAGGTGGAGACCTTCAGGACAGCACCGGTCAGCTTTACCATCGCTAGTATGGATAACTCGTATCAGCAATCGGTGGCAGCGTTCACCACAACGAACGTAACCGGAGACCTACAGCCTGTGGACTGGTCGCAAGAAGCTGAGAAGTATGGTCACCTCCGGGATATTCCCTTCCCGGCACTGCACAAGCCCAACGTCATCGAACTGTTGATTGGAAGCGACAATGCAGAGCTAATGATGTCCCGTCGAGACATTAGTGGCGCTCCCGGACAACCAATAGCACGTCAAACACCGCTGGGATGGACATGCGTTGGCAAAGTACATGCAGCGGACACAGACTCGCACCAAGAGGCCTTACACGGCCAGTCTTTCCTGTGTTACGGCGGCCCATCTGTGACATCACTTGAGGCAACGCTACAGCGTTTCTGGGAGGTAGAGCGCTACGGCATGAGCGATGGGCTTCAGGAGCCTGGCATACGATCAGCCGAGGATGAGAGCGCGCTCAAGACAGTGCAGCGGGCTATACAGATGGTGGATGGACGATACCAGGTTAGCATACCATGGAACAGCAGGAAAGTTGAGCTCACGAATAACATTGTGATGGCCAGGAAACGGCTGACAAGCACAGAGCGCCGCCTGCAAAAAGATAGCACAGTTGCAGCGGCCTACCGAGATGTGCTGAAGAGCTACGAGGACAAAGGCTACATCCGGGAGCTTGGTGCAGCAGAAACGGAACAAGATCAGTGCTGGTATCTGCCACACTTCGCAATCGTAAGGCCACAGAAGACCACAACAAAAGTTCGCATAGTATTCGACGCAGCAGCTAACTACCGTGGACTGAGTCTGAATGATGCAATCAACCCGGGGCCAAGGCTGCAACGAGACCTCTGTGACGTCCTGACACGGTTTAGAAGAAAACCAGTTGCGATCGGATGCGACATCTCTGAGATGTACCTACAAGTGGCATTAGCACCGGAAGACAAGCCGTATCATCGCTTTCTGTGGCGGGACAGGCCAGACGCTGATGTGCAGCACTACGAGTTCAATCGCCTCGTCTTCGGGATCAATGCATCGCCGTTCCTAGCTCAATACGTGGCACAGCAAACGGCGCGAGAGCATGCAGTTACGCACCCTCTGGCAGCGGATGCAATCCTGGCATCGACGTACATGGAAGACACCATGGATTGAAGTTTACCCGGGTCCAGACGGGCATGTGCGAGTTGTGAAGCTGCAGGCCGGTAATCAGCAATACAAACGGCCTATCTCCCGTGTGTGCCCACTGGAATGCTGAAGTCATCTAGTGAGGTACCGCTACAGTCAGTAGCCGATATACTGAATGTATCATACCGAGAGGATCACTGTGCAAGCTGTGTGCCTTGCTGAAAACGTGAAATAGCTATTCATATTCTTCCGTTGCAGCATGTGGTGCTGCTGCCCATTATTCTCTGTGCACATTTGTTACGCTGTATATGCATTTTTGGCATAGCAAATCAGTAGTTGCCACATGCTACTCTGGGAGCATATGGCGAGGGGGAGGATGTTCAGGAGGACACTGCTAGTTTCTGTTGTGCATTGTCATCCAGTATGTATTCTAATAATAGCACAGCCACAGCATTCCAGGTAGCTTCTAAATGAAGGTGTTTGGACACGGACGGAGAGTTGGTTAGTAGTTTCCTGCCATATTGAATACTTCTGCAATATTGGCCGTTTTTTACCTTTGTGCATTGACGTGCCTCAGACGGTGACCACCCGGTGATTGTCTGAGCGGTTATTTGCGGTTATTCTTTGTTAACCATGCAGCGGAATTGTTCACTGTATTGTTTATTCCAATTGTTTCCTTTCGTCTGTGTTTGGCTCCTGATGTGCTGGCTGTGTGCTTTCAACCTACCAACCTACCATAAGAATCGCTGCGCTCCCATTATTCCATCAGATGAAGATGATGATGAGAAGAGATGATGATGATGATGCGATGAAGCATTCAGATTCTTGCAGTTGTTGCTAGAGTCGGTGTTACGTTTATTTCTTGTACTTGTGTGAAAAGATCGAAGAACACCACCTATCGAAAGGCGTGTGTTGTATGAGTGTCTACAGGGACATTATTAGCAGTTCGAAACTGAATAGAAGGGGCGTTCTCCATCACTCCGAGGCCTTGTTGTTGTGGATTGCCGATAGCGGATTCGGCGGATCTCGTGATCCTCCATAACAGGCTTTTCCTCACTTTCTAACCTGTGTCCTGAATGCGTTGTGCTCTGGTTTGCAGGCTGAACAGTGGATACTTTACAGTCAATGTGCACTGCACTTCAGCGAACAGTGTCAGGGTGGCAGCGACCTGATCAAGATGTATCCCTGTGTGTCGTCAACCACGACCGCTGTGCTGCATTCTCCTATCGCCAGATTGCTGCGGATATGATGGAAGCATGCGCGTGACCATATCGCAGCTAATGCTAGCTTGGTGTTAGCCAACACAGGTGAGATATCATCCAGCAATCCCAAACAAGCATTATAGTCGCCAGACACAGACACACGCACCCCCCCCCCCCCTTCCCCACGCCACATTCAATTACGACACTAGTAAGGTTTTCATTTCCTGGGTTGAAGAAGACGCATTCGCATTCAAAGGCCTGCGCTGTGCATGACCAATACGTTGGGACGGGCGAGGCAGCCCTTCATCCTTGACTGAAAGACTGAATTTTTGCCACCCCTGTGGCCGGGCATGATAACAGAATCATGTGCACAGAAAGAACTCAAGTACATTGTAATGCAGAATCATGTGCACAGAAAGAACTCAAGTGCATTGTAATGCAGAATCATGTGCACAGAAAAAACTCAAGTACATTGTAATGCAGAATCCTGTGCACAGAAAGAACTCAAGTGCATTGTAATGCACACTGATCTGTGTTTTTGACTTGCAGGAACAAACTGTATGTCGAAGGGTGTGCCATTCATCTCTCAAAGGATGATGTCGAAAGTCTAGACTAGAAGACGCCACTTCGATCAGCTTGTCATCCTTCTCCAATCTGATTGAGAAGTGCCAGTTGTGATGCTGCAACATTTCAACCTGGGATTCAGGCCGCTCCCCACCTGGGATTCAGGAAGTTCCCCACCTGGGGTTCAGGCTGCTCGCGACCTATTGTGTCAGGTAAGCAGTAAGCACAAATAGGCCATCTTCTCAGGCATGCATGGTGGTTGTGTTCCTTTTAGTGTCAAGCATTGCAGCAAACACTTTTCCCGACTGAAGAGAATCATTAGGAACGAAACACACTGGTTGCAGCACTCCAAGTGCACAGAACAGTTTCTTCTTTCCACCTAGCACCCGCGATGTGCGATCACATGTGAGCCGTGCGTTACTAGTACATCAGTGTCACCGTACAAACAACACCAACTAATTCTCGCTTACTAACATTGGCGATATCCGATCAGGCGGTCACCCGGGTCCCAGTGTATGTACCATCTATGCAGAAATTTGTAGTGTGATTCCGCAGCTACATCTCAAGGGACAAACACGTGCAGCGTGTGTGCTCTTGAAATCAGAGCACTCCAATTTCAGAAATTTCCGGTGCTCAATATTTTCGATACGAGGGCAAAAGGCCAGGTTAGGTGAGCAGAAATTGTAGGTACAGAGAAGCAGTTACCCTGTTGGATTGTGTGTGTTGGTGTTTGCTGGGTGTATAGTCAACTTTGCGTATAACGACACTCGGCGGAGGCATCAGAAAAGTGTCCTTACTCGCAAAGTGTTCTTATACCCCAAGTCTCATCATATGTATACAGGTAGAAGGGACTTTGCTCTGGGCATGGACATTCTGTCGTTATTCGTGAATTGTCGTTATACCCGCAGTCGTTATTAGCGAAGTTGACTGTATTGAAATTTTAGGTATGAAACAGATGCACCGAAAGTACCGAAAATAAAAGTACACCGAAAATTTGTGAAATTACAGTTCTTCTAGCCGGGTACAGGGATACTTCAGTCAGGATAAAGTTCTCCCTGATGTATCACACCCTTTTCTTTGCATCATATACACGCATCTTTTCATGACCCTGCAAACCTGTATCCAGTCATTTGGCCTCGGATACACAATACTCAGGCAATAATCACAGATTGCTATGTCCATGGGGGAGGAGGTAGTGTGCTTTAGTCCATGGGGGAGGAGGTAGTGTGCTTTAGTCCCTGGGGAGGAGGTAGTGTGCTTTAGTCCATGGGAGAGGGGGTAGGGTGCTGTAGTCCATGGGAGAGGGCAAAAGTGAAGGAGAGCGCAGCACCGCGCTATGTCGCTTTGGCGAGAACCCTGGCAAGACATGGTAACCCTATGCACTACAGGCCGCAATCCGACCCTGGAGGTAGAACCTTTATCAGTTAATGCTTCTACTGTCATGGACATGGAAATCCGGTCGCACGTCTAGCGGCCCCAGCGCGCTGGTCATGCAGCCGTGGGTAAGCAGTACACACATACGCGCTGCAGCTCGCATGACTGTGCACTGTTCTGTATGCGCTGAGGGCGCCGGCCCCGGTCAATCGACTGGATTTCCATGTCCGCTACAGTACCTGGATCTTATTAGGGGGCTTGTTGAGTACTGCTGGTATGTAGTAAATTTTGTGAAAGTCCAAAAACAACTGGCGTCAAGTTGGACCGGTCACTAGTGTGGGCCGACGTATGACATGGTAGTATGCTGCACAGCACACTGCACTACATAATTATGACATGGTGGTATGCTGCCCAGCACACTGTACCTGGGCGAGTGGGGCGCAACACCCGGCCTTACGGTTAGCCATTACAGACACCACAGTGCCGCTCAAAGAAATCCGATCAAAGAAATCCGATCACATAAGGAAGATGTGAAGTTTGCAACCTGCCCCATTTCACAGCCCATTGTTCACAAGTCTAGGGCTGCGCAGCGATTGGATTCCATTGAGCGGCGCTGTGGTGTCTTGAACCGCACAGTGGCTGTGGTGTCAAGATGGAGCGGGTGTCACAAAAACGTACTACAACACAAGCATGCCCACGGCAGACTCCTTAGAGACTGTGTCACATACCCAGCACGTCTGATTGATTTGCAAAGTCACACAACACGTCCGATCTAACTTGCAATACACTCATTGCCGAAGTTGTGTTGCCATGGTGCAAAAATGGCGTTGGATGGCTACGCCTGAGCGCTCGCGCTGTCATCGCAGCCCACGACACGTCTTCCTGCTGTGCTTTCCTGACAAATTAATTATTTTGTTTCGCTTTGTCCTTGTTGCTGGAGGGTTTGATTCTTTGAGATACGGTAGAGCGATTTGGAGTTGTTCAGCCGAGAGTAGTCCTGAGAAATGGAGAAAGAATGGGAGAGAACGTGGACTGCGGATCAGGTCGCTCTGTTCCAGCGGAGGCGAGCAGAGGGTTACGAGTCTCAGTGCCCAGGCACGTCGCTCCTGATTATTTCAAGGGGCTCGATGTGCAAGTGGCACTCGAAACCAGTGCTGCGCAGAGTGCCCATGTTCCTGCCAGTGTCGCTGCTTCAGCCGGGCTGGCGCTGGCGTCTCCAGTGCAAGCAGTATACCTAGTAGCTAAAACCACTCCTGGACCTGCTGTAAAACCCGCCACTCAGGGCCAGTGCAAACAGCAGCTGATGCTGCTACTGAAGGGGCCACACATTCACTTCTGTCCAGCTCTGTCCTGCGCGCGCTCCCACCTCTTGTGGGGATATCATGCGCTTACGCATGCAAGGGCTGCGCCAACTTTGCAAAGACAGTATTCCCTACCAAGGGCGTGTATCCAGACGTGATCTTTACCTTCTCATCTGTGAACATTTCCACTTGAGTACTGCTGGCGAAGGGGTTCCAGACGAGGAGGCAGACAAGCCTGCATTACCAAAGCCAGTAATGGCAGCGTACAAGAAGCTACCAAGCTTTTCACACATAACATCTGGCTGGTCTCTATCTCGCCTAACTAAAATCCCTTTCTTCATTACTGAGGCTGTCAAGCACTATTATGTGAAATTCACCGGACAAAGATTATGACAAGGAGAGCTTGCAGTGCTACAAGCAACTTCGTGCGTACCAATTATTTGATAAGCACCACCTTCACCATTTGGAGGGAAACCTGTTTGCAGGTGGAACAAACTTTTGTTTCGTCCGTGCGAAATGCTGGCCATCACAAGATACATCAAAGCAAGCCTACACGTGTATCGTCTGCATCAGCAGGGACGATCCAGTGTGCTACGGTGGATACTGCCAGTGCATTTCCGGATAATGAGAGTGCTGTTCACATGTCGCGGCTTTGCTGTTTGCGCTGGATGATTTTTGCAGCCATGGCATGCAGAGTTTGTCTGGACCTTCTGTAACAGACATGTTGTATGCATGCACGCTCGTGCTTCTGACTGTTTTTCTAGATCATGGCTTCTCTTCTGATCTTTCCTCGTCATGTCTGTTGACTTTTGTGAATTATATCATCTTGTCAAACATAATAACATTACACTGTGAACGAAAGCAACATTTCATTCCACCTCACCTCTCAACCCCTCACAAACAACCGAAAACTTGTCATCGATTGCAGTTATTTTTTAACGACTTTCTGGATCAATAATCATCATTTTTATGTCTTCAAACCAGAAATTGGCAGAGATCAAAATGGTCTGTCATCATAGTAAAACATTGACTTACAAGACATCAGTGTCTGCTCCAGCGCCGGGTGAGCCGGGTAATCCACCCGGTTGGGCGGCGCTTGGACCCGGTTGAAAATATAGTACTGGGTCACCTGTGACCCGGTTGGTACTTTACACTTTCGAACTTTGAAAGGACTGACTACACGGCTTGTATCAAGAGTACATGAAAACGGTTTTCATGTACTCTTGCTTGTATGTGTCAGATACTTCTTCTTCCTTCGTAATTTTCTAATTCCTGTCCTCTCTTTTCTAAATGCGGCTTATCCATTCGCCTTTATATCATTGGGCCTAGTTCCCGTTTATTGTCCGAATGCAAATAAACCAACCAACCAGTTAAAGCACGTGACTCGGCTGGTGAGACAGCGCCAGGTACATGTGTACCCGGCTCCGACCCGGTTGAAATGGTTGCGCCAGGTACACGTGTACCCGGCTGTCCTACAATCCTAGAGCAGACACTGGACATTTCTGAATAATAACTTCGGACTGACGTTAGATTATTACTGGAACAAATCATTTCTGAATGCACAGATTGAGCTAAGTGGAATACTTGGTTGGTTGATAGAACTTGTATTTCCGGTGGAATATACGTAACAATCTTTTTCACATTCACGCAGTATTTATTGGAACAAATTCATATTTTGTGATGATGATGGTCAGCCAGTGTCGATGAAACGTCTAATGGCCATCGCTGAGGACCAGTGGCATACAAATGTCTAAGGGTAGATAGGCCGCGCCAAGTTTGCATCCTCTTGGCTTTGGGTTCGAGGTATTTGAACAGGGCAGAGAACACTGCGGAGTTAGGCAGCCCGGTGAAGTGCCTGAACTTGTCAGGATTGTTTCTGATGCTGGCTAAATCGATCGAACGACACTTCAGGCTCTCGTACTCTTTTTTTAATTTCACTGAAGTCTTTTTCTAGGCCAGCCATGTGATTATCAACTTCACTCGGGTCACTTACACGGATATATCTGTGATCACATGGCAAACCCTTCACATGACCAGGGGTCGGTGCTGGGTCAATAGCCGAACAGACACCACAGAAACGACCCCGGAATCATCAATATCTTGTGGCTCCTCAGACTCTTGACGTTTTCTCTTCAGAACTCGTCTCGCTGGTTTAGGAGTTGCCGTCCACTGGAACTGGGTTGGCACAGCGGTGGGGTTGAGCCATTTTCTTTCTGGCTCCTCACCAGACAGGAGCTTGCCGACGTAATCATCTTGTTTGAAATGAGAGCTGCATACTCTGGTGTTTGATGTGATCTTGAAATTTGATCCCACGTCCCTCCTAATTTCAAATTGCCATAACTTGCACCTTTCTGCATCGCTGGGAAAACGATGAATTGCAAGTGACATATCTAAAGACCGATTACTGCAGAGCGGAACAGCACAGTAGTAGCCCCTGCCTGAAGTTCTTTTCCGCTTCTTGGCAGGTTGGCTATCAGTGCCAGATTCCACTGCGGCTGACCCCACGGATACTGAAGGCGAAGAAACAACACCAACACTAGCTGCAGCGACAGTTTGTTCGACTGGAACCGGTTCAGGAATGGTTTTAGCTACTGCTTGCACTGGAGACGCCAGCGCCAGCCCGGCTAAAGCAGCGACACTGGCAGGAACATCGGTACTCTGCACAGCGCTGGTTTCGAGTGCCACTTGCACATCGAGCCACTCGAAATAATCAGGAGCGACGTGCCTGGGCACTGAGACTCGTAACCCTCTGCTCGCCTCCGCTGGAACAGAGCGACTTTATCCGCAGTTCAGGTTCTCTCACGTTCTTTCTCCATTTCTCAGGACTACTCTCGGCTGACCAACTCCAAATCGCTCTACAGTATCTCAAAGAATCAAACCCGGCCTCCAGCAACAAGGACAAAGCGAAACAAAATAATTTTGTCAGGAAAGCACAGCAGGAAGACGTGTCGTGAGCTGCGATGACAGCGCGAGCGCTCAGGCGTAGCCATCCAACGCCATTTTCGCACCATGGCAACGCATCTTCGGCAATGAGTGTATACCATGCAATGACGTCATCGTCTTAAAAATAACATTTTACAAAATTTAATGTTCAATGTTATAAACTGGATTTGCTACGCCACCCAGACTCCGAATCAGATTCACACAAAATCAGCCCACCACAGCTAGAAGTATCTGGTGTTGTTGGACACTCAATGATGATGTGTGTATACAGAGGATCAACAGATTTAAATAGCATTCTGCATGATTGTCAGATCATGGGAGGTGCAGCAGGGAAAAAAATGTTTTGGGTGGTCAAGTGTGGAGTCAGTTAGTGTGCGTGCATATGTGTGTACGTGTGTGTGTGGGAGAGGGGGGGTGAAGGCATATGTGTGTGTGTGTGGGGGGGGGGGGGGGGGCTGAAGGTGATTGATCACCTGTCTGATCAGGCAAAAATCAGAGTCAAATGTAGCACGTAAATATGCTGCTATTTCTCAAACCTTGACTCTGATTGGCTGAGAGGACAGGTGACCAATCACTTCAGGCGCTAGCTTCGGAGAGAGGGAAGGTTATATAAGTAATCATTCTGGTAGGGGATGGTGGTCGGGGTTCGGGATGGCCAATACTATAGAATTTTCTTCGCATGAATTTTCTTCGCCGGCTTGCTTCTTGCTGGCTTGCCTTCTTGCTGTCCCCCTGTGTCTGCAGGACAAGAGACAACACACAGACAACAATGGCCGACACGCATTGCGCGAAATCACGCGACACCTGTACATTTTAATTTTCGATCTGCGGGATGAAGATGACGACGTCCATGCATCAGGTATCAGGGGGTAGTAAGATACTGGTATATTACTACTCCACGCCTCAAATCGTGCTGTCAAGCGTATGCGGGGGAGTGTATCATGCCATCCCTTACACTTTCCAGCTCAGGGTTACCCTCGCTACCAATGGACGAAATTTCAGGGTCACAGCTTGCGCAACGGCTTTGTCCTGTGCGAATGGCCACTCGACATACTCAGCACAAATTTTCTATTGCATGCATGCACAAAATGTTCAACTTTCGTATTTTTGGCGACTTTACCACCGTCGTGGAGGCTGGTTGGTGAGGAGCAGGTAGCCATCCCTTGTGGAATCAAACACATGGTTCCACAGTGTGGCTGATTCCGCAAGAGCCAGGTCCATACGAGGAACATTCGCTTTGTCTTTTGCCATCGAAGTAAGTCACTTTTCTTGTTCTCAGTGTTTTTTACGTTCAACGTTTCTGAGATTTTTGAATTATTCACTTTTCATTCTTTCATACTTTATTTCTACTGCCTCACTTGCCTTCTGATCTGGAGAATGTGACGGAGGTGACTGTTGGTTACTGCCTGGTATAACGGTTGTCGTGCTGTTGCTGTATTTCCGTCCTGCTCGCGACGTTGTAGATCACAAACAATTTGAAATCACATGAATTGTACTTACCGTCGTGCGTGCGGTATTAGGATACATTGCGACGATCTAATCTGCACAGTGTTTCCAACACTGTGCAGATTAGATCGTCGCAATGTATCTATATGTGTGTCTGGTCATCCTGTGCCACGCAAGAACTCCAACCAGACGCATTCGTCCTCGGCCCTGTTGATCGATTGTCCACTCGTCTTTCCTTGAAGAACGATCTATCAAAAAAAATTGAGCTCGAGGACTTTTTGCAAAAAACGGCTGAAAAAAGGAAGAAAAAAGGGTGCTCAGAATGAGATTCGAGTACACAACCATGGTCCCAGCAGTTTATGTGGATGTCGCTCATAGATGCGCGATTTCGCGCAATGACTGGAGGAAGACAATTGAAGAACTGTCAGCAGACATTGCCAATATGCAGTTCATTGGTTTGCAAGACAAGATAACATTAACAATCACAACAATGGCCGACAAGAGAAAGGAGCCAATGAAGGAATTATCAGACATTTTCAGTGTTCACCAATGCTTAGCTGCTGCTTTTTGTACTACTAGTATTCTTCCCACAAGTAAACTGCATTCTTCCCTGCATTACCACTGCAGTATGGCCAGGGGTTGTCTTGACTGAGTGTGGTGGAGGTGTGTGTGTGTTGTGGGGGGGGGGGGGGGGGGAGGAGGACAAGAACGAATCCTGCTGCTTCATGCTGGGACTCAATGCCTGTGTGAATATGATGGTGTGTGTGTGTGTGTGTGTGTGTGTGTGTGTGTGTGTGTGTGTGTGTGTGTGTGTGTGTGTGTGTGTGTGTGTGTGTGTGTGTGTGTGTGTGTGAGGGGATACTACCACTGCTGCAGATCAATAGTGTGTGTGTGTGTGGGGGGGGGGGGGGGGGGTACTACAGCTGCTGCATGGTTCAATTAAACCTGAATGGAAGCGGACAGTTCATGAATACAAGCCTGTGGCAGAGAACACCATACAACCCGTCAGGTGCGTAGCCCCGTGTACCCCCTATAAATTTCGACCTAGGTTCAGCATGTACATAATCACCATGAATGATGACATGCACCAGCCAACCTACACATATGCGGCCGTGCACCCCCCCCCCCCCCCCCTGCAAGGGGGATCAGCTACGCCCCTGATCCTTACATGCACAAACGAAAAAGCAATGCAATAGTAAGGCACATGCCCTTTTCCTGCGACGGAGCTCCGAGTTGCCTTCTAGCACCCATGCAAACATGCACACACTTGCATGACAAGAGACAGGAATAGACCTGGACCGTCACAATTCACAAACATCAAGAAGCACAAAGCATGGATAAGTTGAAATAACGTTATCAGATCAGATGGGCAGGATACGCAACTGATGCTACTGTTGTAGCAGGGGCGTCGGACACGGTACGGTCACTACGGTATTGACCGTACTACCTTTTGCCCCAGGTACCCCGTAAATCAAAAAATCCACTGATCTGGACTGTAAATTTCCAAAATTTTCGGCTCCACCCCCCCCCCCCGCCACAAGTAAACTGTACTTCAGATGACTGACCGTACCACACTAATATACCTTCCGACGCCCCCTGTGTAGTATGCCATACACTCTTTGCCCCCTGTGTGGTAGTGTGCACTGCACTCTGCCAGTGCCCAGCACTAGGACACTCTCTCTACACTGGGTGCAGCATCTGGTAAATAAGGAGCGCCCTGCTCGCGTGAGAGTCAGTCACAAGGAGTTTCCACACGCCCTCAGGAATGTCTTCAAGGATCAAGACGCAGATGCACTTTTGAAGTCGTAAAGAGGTGGGAGGTGAGTTGATCAAACAAACCAACACATAATACATGTAACACTATAGTCACCATGATTATGTTTCACATTGCCAGAGGAACTACGTGTTTGGCAAAGAGTGACTGAAAAAACAATGGGATTTCAAGCCAGGTTGAAGGAGCAATGACAATGGTGGGAACAACAGCACCAGCACCTCCAACCAGTACCACACCTCCAACAGTACCAGCACCTCCAACAGTACCAGCACCTCCGACAGTACCAGCACCGCCAAGAGCACCAGCACCTCCAACAGTACCAGCACCTCCAACAGTACCGCACCTCCACAGTACCAGCACCTCCAACAGCACCAGCACCTCCACCAGTACAGCATTCAACAAGCAACTCGTCCAAGAGCACAGGCCGATTTGCAGAGCAGTAACGTTATACATGTACAAGTGCAGTGTTTGCGCACTCACTTGGTTGTTTTTGTTCAGCGATAGGGAGCATAATGAGAGAGAACCAAGAGAGAGAGAGATAGAGAGAGAGAGAGAGAGGGGAGAGAGAGAGAGAGAGAGAGAGAGAGAGAGAGAGAGGAGAGAAGAGAGAAGAGAGAGAGAGAGAGAGAGAGAGAGAGAGAGAGGGAGGGAGGGAGGGAGAGAGAGAGAGAGAGAGAGGGAGAGAGAGAGAGAGAGAGAGAGAGAGAGAGAGAGAGAGAGAGAGAGAGAGAGAGGGAGAGAGAGAGGGAGAGAGGAGAGAGAGAGAGAGAGAGAGAGAGACAGAGAGAGAGATAGATAGAGATAGAGAGAGAGAGAGTTTGTGAGAGAGAGAAAGAAAGAGAGAGATGCAAAAAACTAGCACAAGAAAACTGCCAACACTAAGTTGCTCTTCAACTGCCTCACTCGGTGTGTGTGTGTGTGTGTGTGTGTGTGTGTGTGTGTGTGTGTGTGTGTGTGTGTGTGTGTGTGTGTGTGTGCCCAGTGTAGCTAGCACGTCCAGTGTGGTGTGGTGACCTTGTACCCGAGCACATCTCTGCTGTGGTGACCTTGTACCCGAGCACGTCTCTGGTGTGGTGACCATGTACATCAGCAACCTCATAGCAGCCAATTTACCCGTGACAGCCAATTTACCCGTGACAGCCATTTTCTGGTGTGGTGGCCATTTTCTGTGTGGTGGACCGAACTACGCTGACTATACACGAGCTACGCGCGCCGCGAGTCTTGAATGTCACTACCCCCCCCCCCCCTCCCCCCAAGAATGCAAGACTGAACTAGCCCCCCCGACCCCAAACAGTGAGGACTGACCTAGCCCCCCCCCCCCCCCCCTCAGACAAGCAAGACTGAACTAGGCCCGCTCCCCAGTCAAGCAAAGACTAAGGTTAGCCCCCCCCCCCAAGAAAAGGAATACTACATGTGCAAATTAGCACCCCCCCCCCCCCTCTCCAGACCAAAAAGACTGAACTAGACCCCCTCCCCATTCAAGGAAAAACTTAAAACTACCCCCCCCCCCCCCAGACAAACAAGCCTAAACCAGCTCCCCCCCCCCCCCCGCCCCATGACAAGTGAACCTAACATGGACCCAGACAAGCAATACTGCAATACTGAAGGAGACGCCCTACACATACACACACTCGTTCTCTATTTTTCTTTGCAACATTGTCATAGCTATACACCATTGCCTGTGGGTATACATGGTATATGGACATCACCAACTGATGCATACCCTGACATGACGCCATGCCATCCCAACATGTATGACAGCATGCATTGCCACTGTACGCAACACTCCCAACGCAGCCTGTATAACCTCTATTGCACACAACCAGCAGAGCTGACAGCCAACTGACAATGTTGTTCATATTTGGACTTCTGATTTTCAGTATTTTTGCACTGTGTTTTTTCTCTCACTGCCAATGTACTGTCATGTGCAGTGCTTTTAAAACATGTTCTGTATTTTCCTTTACTTTACTGTATTTTCCTGGGTGTTAGCTGCACTGGGGTATAAGCCGCACCCCACCCCCACATGGCTGATCTATCCGTATCGACTTTCCGTGTAGTTGCTCAAATTCTGTAGTACAGACTGTACTGAGGAAGCAGTGATTTTCCTAAAATGCAGTCGATTAGCCTCACTGAACGCGGGTGTTGCACTTCTCTCAATACACCGGTGTGCTGCCTTAATTAAAAGGTAGCACTGTAGCACTGTAGCATGCAGCCACGTAAAAAAGAGTAAATTATCGTGTCTGTTCCGGAAGGGAACTCACGACGGTCGCTAACGCCCGGTAAACGGCCTGGCGGCAGATGCAGCGCCTGACGGTGGGGGTGAGTCGATAAGTCTCACAACCACTGGCACAAGTGCCGAGAAACCCCATAAGCCGCATCCATGTACCACTAGTGCCTGGCCACAAGTTCCCAGTTGACTGTGGGTAGCAGCACGGCTGGAAAAACCACTCCCAGGTAGGACTTGAACCAGGTACCTGTCGTATCTCAGTCAAGTTCTTTGACAAACCCATTGTGCCTGCCTGGATCATGGACAGCCACGTGGCAGGGTATACAGGTAGGGAATAATTCACTTTTTTGCACAGCAATTTTACTATGCAAAATCAAACTTGAATAGGAATTAAAAAAATGTTTAGTAACAATTTTCTTGATCACTTGACAACATTGTCCTTCTGGAGGGCCAGGTGCAGGTGCAGGGCGCTGCTGAAAACTCTCTGTCATGTTTTCACCATGTCAGCATGTTTCTCTACCAACCGGTTTATGGTTGCAGTCAGAAACACTTTTTTCCGTACATAACATTGTGACCTCCGCCTAGCTCCTAACATGCTGTCATCGTGAAAACAAGCCAGTTCCAGTGTACATCAAAGCAGTCCGGCACACAAACGTACCTGAATTCTGATGTCAGATGAGAAAACAAGTGCTGGAAGCAGTAGCCCACCCTCCACTCCGCTACTGAGTGACTGGTGCTAGCCCGGAACGCGTGTAGCTGTAGCACAGCATGACTCCTTTGCTTCGCCATGAGACACTCTCCTCCCTAGCGCAGAACTACATATAGCGCAGTAGCTGCTTACTGTACGTAGCTACGCCATGCCAAGTCGACGGCCAGGTTTAGCTGTGCTGTCGATATCATAATTAAATGACTGAGTCGTCAACTAGCTGTGTCCATCAGGAGGACCACGAAGTGCACGCTGCCTATGAGTATGACTCTGAGAGTTGTCCAGGGCTTCAGCGACGATACGCATGGGTCACACTCGCTGGGCACAAATAACTAGCCTGACAGTACGTACATACACCCACTAAGCCGTTGTTGCCGGAAACTAACACCTGCCATGGCACACTCTGCGACTCTGGCACAAAAACGAGTTGAAGCTGTCCAGAGCTTTTACAGGACACTAATTATTTACCGCGAGGAACACAAGTACCGTTTAGTGCTTCTTCAACATGGCCACTTTCTAACTATTGGTCCTGTAGTTTGGAGAAGAAAGGACAAGTAAAATGCGGCGAAGCACTCAAATAAGAATATTCTCCGCCGCAGCAGACGACCGAGCGATGGAAACAGGAAGCTATTTCATTGTAGTGTTGTGCCACAGCAAGCAGCATGCTAGCACCACGTCAACCTAATGTAGCTAACGCTCGTGACTTCACACGAATGCTAGCTAGGACTAGGCCAGTGGGTGACTTGTTTCTTTCTGGACCTCCAAAACTGACTATCGAGTGTCGTTAGTACGAGTACCGGTACATGTAGATCTGCGACTGTTGTGTAACAGGAACTGAGGAAGTCGTGAAATCTCACACTCACAGCTACATCAGTACAGTCATGTAGATTTCACCTTATTATTTTTGCTGCTGCCGACAGCAAGGAGTAGTAAAATACCACCATTTTTTACTACTCCCTGGTTTTTATCAGATACAGTAACTTGATAAGCCCCCCCCCCCGCAGAAAGAGTCTGCAAATCAGGGAGTCGTGTAAACCGGGTTTATGGTGCAAAACGTGCCTTTTTGGTTCCAGCCTAGCTAGCCTCTTTGTAGCAAGCTGTAAATGTGCAATAAAGGTCGACCGCCCAAATCACCATGGTCACACAGTACTACTGGTACCGGGTATACCGGTTAAAGGGGAAGTTAAAGGGAAACTGAACGCCAAAAATAAGTATGGCTTATCCGAAGGAGAATTGGGCACTGATTCCGATGAGCTATGTCTCGAGCCGATCAGAGAAGAGGAACTGTGTCAAATTTCATAAATAACACCTCCCATATTTGGAAATTGGCCTTGATGACGTGCGTACTGCTTAGCTGTCACCATGCTGTGCATGTTCAGCAGTGTAATTGAATGGAAGAAAACAATTACTTTGGTGTGTTGCAGCTCTGTTTCGTTCCCTGACGGTAACCAAATCTAGATGTAGGAATCTGTTGAGCAGGAGAGTGACACATGTCTTCCCGAAGGCTGTCCAGGCTGCAGTGGTGATGAAGAAGACACGATCATCACCCCGAGATCGATCGTAGCGAATTGGAAAACTCATGGTGAATTTGCTTCCACTCCAAGGCAATGTCGAGGTATGAAGGGTGCTTGTACTGCCTTCCAAAGTGAAGAGGAGATGAACATGGCTTTGCATAGCTGTTGTTCTATGCCAACTTACCTACTCTTGCTGGTACCGTAGTGGCATATTGCAAATTTCGTGGACGAACAACTCTAGTCACTAGTGGCTAGTGAGCAACACTAACAGGTGAGATTTTTCAATTCGACAAAAATTGTTTTTGTTTGAGAACTGACAGTGGCAGTCATTAGACTCAGTAGGTGTCTTTGCTGCTTCTCTCCCTTCATATCGGTAGGGTTGTGCTTGAAGTAAAAATAAATAGAAAATGTGGAACAAAAATCTGATCATGTAATTCGAATTTGAACTTCAAAGTATGTGTACATCAAATCACAAAAATGACTGTCAAGGTGGTGCTGTGCATTGAAAAAGACTGGGAGCTGGCAGCAATGGAAAGGGTAGAAACGAAACCAGTAATGCAGAGTATTCATAAGGTAGAGGGAGATGAAAACGGGAGAGGAGTAGTGAGCACTTCAGTTTGAAGTAGTGTCAATAGACAGCATCGTGTTGCATACGTTGTGAATATTGTGTGAATCTAATAATTGTCACGAAATTGATATCCAAAATTATTATCCCCTGAGTAGTAGAATGGTGTTCTCCTGTGTTTACATGCAGAGCCTTGACGTTGCTGGACGAGCGACAATATAAATTACATAAACATGTAGCTCGTGATGTGGGATGACTGCCGTATCGCATTGCCAACGCAAACCCATCCTGTGTCAGTGCAGCCATCCAGCAACTTGAACTCCCCGGACCAGATGCCGCTGCAGCTGAACACCATGCCGATGGAAAGCCAGGAGTTGATAGCGAAGCATTCTGGTCTGCACAGTACAAGGCAAAGAACAATTATGAATTACAATGCATTGTAATCTTTCCCACACTTCTTTGTAAAAACAAACAAACAGTGCCATTATCACAACACTTGATCAAGCATCTTGATGGAGGTATTTTCCATTGTGCTGGCTCAGCATCTGCACCAGGAAGACCATGTACACTTACACGTATCTTGTGTGTGTGTGTGTTCGTGCGTGTGTGTTTGTGTATCTGTTGCTATGTCTAACATAGCTTTTCGCTATCATCGCTTCCGCGATGGGCAGGTCTGAGGTATGTGCACACGTGTGTGTGTGGGGGGGGGGGGGGGGGGACGCACATGTGTATGGGTAGGAATGTGTGTGTGTGGGGGGGGGGTACACGCACATGTGTATGGATGTGTGCGCTGCATGCGTGTGTCTGTGGGATGGGGTGGGGGTGCACGCACATGTGTACATATGTGTGCGCAATACAGCATGTGTGTATGTGTTCGTTGAACACAGGGTGTACTCCTGATTACATAAACTTCGTGATCATTGTGATTTCATGTGCTTTGAAGTTGAACTTCGCAATACATGTACTGATGCTTGATTAGATTTATGTTCCACATGTTCTATTTATTTTATTTTACTTCAAGCACTTGTACTATTCAAGCACAACCCTACCAATGAAGGGAAAGAAGCAGCAAAGACACCTACTGAGTCTAATGACTGCCACTGTCAGTTCTCAAACAAAAACAATTTTTGTCGAATTGAAAAATCTCACCTGTTAGTGTTGCTCACTAGCCACTAGTGACTAGAGTTGTTCGTCCACGAAATTTGCAATATGCCACTACGGTACCAGCAAGAGTAGGTAAGTTGGCATAGAACAACAGCTATGCAAAGCCATGTTCATCTCCTCTTCACTTTGGAAGGCAGTACAAGCACCCTTCATACCTCGACATTGCCTTGGAGTGGAAGCAAATTCACCATGAGTTTTCCAATTCGCTACGATCGATCTCGGGGTGATGATCGTGTCTTCTTCATCACCACTGCAGCCTGGACAGCCTTCGGGAAGACATGTGTCACTCTCCTGCTCAACAGATTCCTACATCTAGATTTGGTTACCGTCAGGGAACGAAACAGAGCTGCAAAACACCAAAGTAATTGTTTTCTTCCATTCA